GAGAATCCCGAAGACCCTCCTCATCCTGGAGATATGGCGGGACCCCACATCATAAACCCATAGTCCTGATTCTAACGAATGAGGGCTTTTTAGAACAGAGACGAGTGACTCAGCTAGTCAGGTATGATAATAATATTATTTTGATAATCATCATTTGCATTGTAAAATGGCGCCGCAAGGGCCTCAAGCAACGGGTATCCACAGAGTACAGGCTAATTAAGGGAACAATGGACTCGTTGGGACTAGCCTTCCTGGTGCCCGAGCGCTGCTGTAAGCGCGATTCACTACTCTTTGATTCACAAAGTTGTTTGGAGTGGCCTCTGTACAAGTATCCTTTTGACAACGGGTGTTAGAGAGCATGTCTGGATATTGCTGCCTGGTGGCGACTCTATAGCATCTAGGTTCTGGAGAGTTCTGTATAGAGTTCGTGGTTTGCTGTTGCTTCTGTAAAGAAAAGGAGGCAAAATATATCTGTTTTTTTCCCTTTGTCTTCCCCCCCCACTATCCCTCCGGCTGTGAACCCCACCCCTAGGTGCGTCGCCAAAAGTCTGATCCTATGATATCATACCACCAGCTTGCGGTAGGTCTGATATTCACTGCAACCTTATTGAGGAGGGCCAAGGTCTTCAATCTCCCAGCTCCCACAGTGCAGCGTTTTCTTAATCTTGCCGGCCCTCATGATAGATTTTTCAATAGTAACTCATTCTAACTGGTTCTCCAAATTTTAACCAGCGTGGCGGCTAGGTACTTCACGTGATGTTGCCATGTGAACAAATAGTTGCCCTGATGGCAGGTATACTTGAATTTTCTTCTCGTTTGGGGTAAAAATTATATTCTTAAACATGAATGGGCTAGGGGTAGTGGATACACCCTGCAAAGATAAAGTCCCTTCATATTATGCAAAGGAATAACCGCAACTGGAATATTAGTGAAGGAAAAAAAAAGGACTATCATAGCTTTGGCTAATAATAAGATAGCAGTCGGGAGGATTACAGATTACAGATGTACGGCCTAAGGCCGGCAGGCACACGTACCGTACATCAGTAAGTGTATAGTAGGAGTGCAGTACTAATGAGACTCACGACTTGTGATAATCTCGCTCGGGGCATGGCGCCCAATTGTCGAGTTAGGCGTTACGAGTTGACTGTAATACCCGCAAAGGTTCCAGGAAGGCAAAGAAGCAAGAAGAAAATAACAAAGCGGGGGGGGGAGGCAATAAAAAGGGAGGGTTAAAACAACCAGGTGGCCACCGACAATAGGTCCTCGGCACTCTGGAGGCCCATTGAGCGAAACGGGGATGGGTGGTCAGGGCAACCTGCGGAGAGATTCGGCGGTGGAAGTGAGGGCTGCGGTTTACACGTTTCCACCGAAATCATGTGAATTTACTCATTCGCAACACCCTGCACCTATCATACAGCAAGAATACGTTGGGCCTGTGCAAGTACCCGAGTACTTGTACGCGGTTCTACTCCGACGTTCCCTGTCGGAACACTCCTCTCGAGATAAAAAATCCTTCCTTCGAGGAGCTCAATCTAAATGCAAGGGCCCACCATTTTGGAAGGAAGGAATTGACGAAGATAGAGAGAAAAAGACTTGGCACCCTACAGGTTCGGTGCTCTCTCCACAATTTTAAAGTGGCTCTGAAGGAAGACCTTCGGGGCAAGACTTCAATGTGGTGAGGGTATGGATGATTTAAGGTATCACAGTCCTAGTTCGCCGATGGGCATTTTGAACGGACAGCAGCACCAGCTCTCAAAAAGGTGCGATTTACTCAACTCATTTGAACTGCGGAAATCATGGAAGCCGTGGGATGTGATACGAATCATTTCTATTTCGTGCTCGACATAGTCTGCGCGCGGCACCTCTGGCTGGCCCCCCTATGTCGAACGCATCGGCACAGTAGCGCTAGTCTAGAGCGATAATTTAGCCCTCAGACAGTTCAACTTTTATCAATACCAAATACCAGTTTCACAAATTTTACATAGTTTGGTCGGACCTAGTGTTTCATTCACCGGTCTACTCATTGTTTTCTAGCTTTCATTCGGCCTCCTCAGCATTTGCTAACGACCCCGACAACTCTTTTCGATTACCCTCTCTCAACTGCAATCCAAACGGTAGAAAAAAGTCTTAGTGTTTGGGCGGTAGTCGTGACTCTTTCGGCGCAGGGGTTGATATATCGGGTAGTTCTAATGTGGCTAATGAGAGTCCTGAAAATCTGGCCTGGCTGCGTCCACCGGAAGCCCCGGAGGCGACATCAAGAACTCCAAACTTGCCGGGCCGGCAATGTTGGAGATTGGCCCCTGTAAACCAAGAATACTTGTACCGGTACTCGAATTGGTGCAACTGTAATCTCGAAGCCAAAGACAAAGTAGATTTGTTTTGCTACACGGAACAGGGCGTTGTAGAACCTTACACCAGGTAAGAGGGACGATCCTCTAGGAAAGAAGGTATTTCTAACAAGCCGTGGGGCCAGTTCCCTGGTGATAGATCGTAGCTATGTTGTGCGTCAGGTCAGGGGGGGTGTAGTGTTGCCCGCGTGCTTCGGCTTCGACATATTCTCGCAGAGGGAGCAATCCCCAACGCTAACAGGCATGCTAGGTACCCTGTACATGTGTTAGCGGTTTGGGGGGTTCCGAGACAAGAGAGAGGTTTTGGAGGTCAGGAACTGCAGCTTTCTGAAGCCTGAGGTGTCAGGTAATCTCGTCATCGCAGCCCACCTTTATGAGGTCTAATGGTCCGGACCAATGCACCGTGCAAAATCGACTTGAGCTGCCTGTTTCGACCGAAGAGGTTCTCCGGGAGTCGCCAGGCAATTACTCACTCCCGGGAAGTATCTTGTCGGAAGGGTAGTGGTTCTATCCAGAAAAGACGATATTTTGAGGCACAAAATAAGAGGATAATGGATAAAGATACGATCCCGGAGCAATGGACAGTGATCTGAACGCAAAGAAATACCAAAAACGTTTCTGGAAGTGTTTCGAAAAAACATTTATAGGCAGTAATACTGGGTCTTACTGTGCTCATCCCCTGGAACCGACCCATTAGCACATGCGCAGAGGCCTCTCTTGCTTCCGATATATCTTCATTTCCCGTGTACGGAACATCCTCGATTTTTAAAGGAAGCCAGAGAGAATCCGGGCGCATCCGCCGGTAGCTGGTTTGGGATAGCTCCGGGGAGTTGGGGCCGAAAGATATCAGAAGGAGAGGAAACCCAGATTCTGGGGAGCGGCCCTGACGCAGATCTCCTGTCCGGAGTGGTTATTGCAGGTATCATAGATGAACCACCCCCTGGCGGTCAAAACAGGATCCACCACTCCCGATTTTGATGTTCTTGCAACCACGAGGCCATTAAACTTTTGGCAAGGGCTTATGGGTGCGGGCAAGGAGGACCCAAATTTCTGTTTGACCTATTTAGCTCTTTCAGGGTATCTTTGCACCATCCCCTTTGGATAGAGCACGCTTAGCGATTGGGGAAACCCGCCTGGCTTATATCAACTTGCCCCGAGTCAGGGACCTTTCGGTGGGTCCTACTCTTAGCCCCAGGGCGCACCTTCTCTGACATCCCCCTACTCATTGGAGAAGCAATGCAAAAATGGGACTCCCCAATTGTGCGAAGACACTCGCGTCCGAGCTCTTGATCGGCAAGATAACAGCGCATCTTCCAGGTCACTCTGGAAGATAATTAGCCCGGGCGCTGCTATCGGGGTCGCCCCTAGCCGTGAAAGGTTTACTGCGCTAGTGTGTATCTCTCTGCAGTTGAGCTAGCAAACCAAGACAGAAATGTGGGATGTCGGCCAAGGGATGGCCCGAGAATATTACCACCCATATAGGCTACGAGATACGGGCATGTAAGGGTGGTAAAATTATCATTAGAGAGGAAGCATATTGGCCCTGGCAGGCCAGTCGCTATTTGTCCTAGCACCTCTCTCGTGGGCTGCTGGGGGATGACATGAGGCCTTCAGCATTGACATTACAGGCCGTCCTTGGGACGAAATACCCCGGGGAATAGACCAGTTACTATCAGGGCGACCACTTTTGTTAATCCGGAAAATTCAGATTATTAGGCCCACGAAACTATTCTGCGGGCTACAGATAAGGGACACGAGGGAGTGGGGAGACAACGGCGACGAGAAAAGAGTGCCCCACACGAAACCGATCTCAACAAGCTTATTCTGCGAGTGACCATTTATGAAGGAACCTGGGCGCTGGATCACTATTTCCCACTACTGCGCTAGCTTCCATCAATGCGGGCAGGAATCGATGGAGAAGAACTCGGATGCATACAGTATATCTATCCCAGACACGAGTAAAATGGCCGAACGTTGGAAGAAGCACCTTGAATTACCGCGCGGAGAGTCGCGGGAATATGGCCGTGGAACACTCTCAAGAAATAACATTAAGAATTCTTGCCAGGAATCCTGGGTGCTGTCGACGAGTTCAAAATACTGCAAGGGAGAGACACTTTCACTAGTGGAGGCGTTAGTATGCATTCGAACCACTTTTTGCTAAGGAGATGTATATGTTAGAGACCTACAGCGTAACCACCGTTTATAACCATGTCCTACTCTAGACGGGGAGACCGTTTGTTTCCTCCCCGGAGGCGCACCGTTACCATCTAGTTCCCGGAATGGAACGTGGATGATAGATCAGCCCCCTACAGCATAACGGAGATTGGTTGGAGTAGTTAAGAGTGTTTTCAAGCTCAGTTTGGAGGTGCGCTGATATGTGTCTACTGTACCCGTTTCTTGACCTGCTGGTACCTCTACTTCACACTCAAGATGAAGGGGAACTTCCGGATAGGAGTATCTGACTTTAGTGCAAGGTTGTCCCATACTCAATTCACTGTTCTCCCACGATATATCATTCGCTTTGCTCACATGTACTGTACTCGAGTATCATACTTAGAAAAAAAAATTTAGTCACGTGTGTACTTGCACTAAGGTCACTGTTAATTAGGCTCTTTCTGGATACCTGCTATTCTAGAGCTTGAATAGAAGCTCATGGAAGCCAGCCCAGCATTAGGCCAGCACCCCAAGCAGGGTTAGGTGTCCTTCAACCACAAGTCTCTCCCACGTGAACACTTGGCAAATAGAGTATAGTATCACAACCCCACCACATCTCGGTTACCCCCCTCATCCTCCGACTCAAAGTCTGCTTGCCCCCCACCACCAACACCAGCCAACTCTACGTGTACCCTCAAGTGTCCGCTTCCCACCATGGTAACTTCCCACCATTATTTATCAACGCACACTTTCCGCCAGACAGCTAACACTTTTTATAACAGTCTTCAGATTCGAAAAAACGCCTTGCCCTTGCAATAATAGACTTCCTTTCAACCTCTACGAAAGACGGAACCGTCTCCGATGACGACAAGGAATCGGTCGATGTAGCTCAGCAATGCATAGCCGACGCCTTCAAGGTTGACCCAACCGACAGGGCCGCCATGATTGACGCCCTCGCCGGCCAATCACTCCAAAGCATCTACGGTGTTTTCGAAAAGATGAAGCAGAAGAATACACCAGCTAAGCCGGCATCTCCGCCAGCCAAACCGGCCGCCGCCACACCACCTGGCCCTTCGGACGCAGAGAAGGCAGAAGCGGAGTCCTTGAAGGGCAAAGGTAACGCAGCCATGGCGAAGAAGGATTATTCGTCCGCAATAGAATACTACACCCAGGCCTTAAGGATTGTCCCGAATAACCCCATCTACCTATCCAACCGGGCCGCGGCATACTCCTCGGCAGCACAGTTTGAGAAAGCGATTCTGGACGCGCAAGTAGCCGTGGACACAGACCCCTCGTACGCCAAAGCCTGGAGCAGACTCGGTCATGCCAGATTCGCAAAGGGTGACGCGAGGGGCGCGATGGAAGCTTACAAGGCCGGGATAGAAGCCGAAGGCAATGGCGGAAGTCAGATCACCCGCAACGGATACGAGACCGCAAAAAAGAAGGTTGAGGAGGAGATCGCTGCCGACGCGGATAACGTCACCGCCCCACCTGGGCCCAGCACCCCCCGTGGCGGTGGGGTCGGAGGAATGCCAGATTTGTCCAGTATTGCGGGAATGCTTGGTGGCGCTGGTAGACCCGCTGGTGGTGGAATGCCTGATCTAGGCTCCATCATGAATAATCCAATGTTTGCGCAGATGGCCCAAAACCTCATGAGCAATCCTTCGGTTATGCAGAACATGATGAACAACCCTCTCGTGAGGGAGATGCTAGACTCTGTTGGGGGTGATGATGGGGAAGGTCCTGGTGCGGAAGGTCGCAGCATGCCGGATCTGAGTGGCTTGTTAGCAGATCCTAGTATAGCCGAGATGTGAGTATTTTTCCATGAGTTGAAGGAATGGGTAAATCTAACAGTCATAATGTAGGGCCAAGAACTTGATGGGTGGTCCTGGTGGTGGTGGTGGTGGTACTAGTGGAGATGCTGGCGGTGCTGGGGGGAGTGGGCGCACGTGATTTCTTGGTTTTCTGCTACCTCCATCTGGTCTCTTTTACATCATCTGGATATCCCCTTTTGGGCAGATCCCATTTTCTTCAATTCAGGGTTCCGTAGTACAGTAATGACCGAATAAATGATATTTTCATTCACCTTAAGTACAATGCTCAATCATCGATCTTACCAGTAGGAGTTAAATTTACCCACAAGTGAATGGTGAATGATACAGGAGAAACAACTCGCTTGCTGTTAACTCCGGAAATGATTGGGAGCGCAGGAAAGAAAAGGATGTCTCGCTTCCATTTTTGCATAAGGAATGAACTCTACAATGAACTCTACATAACTATATCTAACTTCGCTCGCCACTGCTTAGGACGCACCTCCGTAGTTTGTAAACCTACATGTAATTTCACAGCAGAAAAGTGCCTGTATAAACCAACCCGATTAAAAACAAAATACAAGTACCAGAATGAACTTCCGAATAAAATAGCATCGCAGCTATGACTGTAGCTCACTCAACTCTAAAAAATGCTCAGTACTGACGGTGTAACGGGTATCCGTAAACTCAGA